AAGTGAGCCTCCTTTGCCAGACTGCATTCCAAATGGCGGTGCAATCCACCCTCCAGATGCCGGGACAGCTTGCTGCTTTCCCCACCACGGAGTGAGTCATTTTGCGAAGCTAAGGAACACCCAGCAAGGCGATCATCATCCTAATTTCTCTGCCAGCTGCGTCCAGATGAAAGTATATTTGGGGCCTTCTCAAAGAGAGACAATGCAGACTCCGTGAGGGCCAGTGCTGGTTCAAGAGAGCTTGAATAGCCTGTCTTTTAAATGCCCCTGTTGGGAGAAGGCTCCTGGGGACATCGCAAAGAATTTTCTCTCGTTTATCCCCAAGAACACAGCTCCTCTGGAGGGGAGAGCTGTGATGTCCAATTCTCTGGGTTTAAATCCTGGCTCTGGTCCCTCCCTAGCTGCGTTACAAATAATTCCCCCTCTCTAAACCTAACTCCTAAAGCGGCATAAAGATGAGCTAAGATCATGCATGAAAGGCTGTCAGTATAGAAATGGGTACACAGTAAGCACTCGATAAATGCTGTCATTATTATCATCATCATCATTGTCATCACTATTCCTATTAGCTTCCTAAGTACATTGGAAGGTACATTCTTTTTTTTTTTTTTTTTTTTTGAGTTGGGGTCTTACTCTGTTGCCCAGGCTGGAGTGCAGCAGCATGCTCACCGCCACCGCAGCTTCAACCTGCTGGGATCAGGCGATCCTTCTGCCTCAGCCTTCCAAGTAGCTGGAACGACAGACACGCACTACCACACCCGGCTAATTTTTTTATTTTATTGTAGAGACAAGATCTTGTCAAGTTACCCAGGCTGGTCTTGAACCCCTGGGCTCAGGCAGTTCTCTAGCCTCGGCCTTCCAAAATGTTAGGATTACAGGTGTGAGCCACTGCACCTGGCCGGAAGATACATTCTTACAACAGCCTTCTGAGATGTGCGATAGTGTCCCCAAATTGCAGATGAGAAAACTGAGACTCTGCAGTAAAGTCAGAGTTTTTCTTTCTTTCTTTTTCTTTTTTTTTAGTTTCTTTCTTTTTTCTTTCTTTTCTTTCCTTCCTTCCTTTTCTTCTTTTTTCTTTCCTTCTTTCCTTCTCTCTCTCTCTCTCTCTCTCTCTCTCTCTCTTTTAATTTGGAGTCTCACTCTGTTGTCCAGGCTGGAGTGCAGTGGCATGCTCATGGCCACCGCAGTCTCGACCTCCTGGGCTCAGGCAATCCTTTCACCTCAGTCTTCCAAGTAGCTGGAACTATAGGCGTGCACCACCATGTCCGGCTAATTTTTATTTATTTATTGTAGAGACGAGGTTTCATCATGTTGCCCAGGCTGGTCTCAAACCCCTGGGCTCAGGCAATCCTCTCGCCTCTGCCTCCCAAAGTGCTGGGATGACAGGTGTGAGCCACTGCACCCGGCTAAGTCACATTTTCCAACAGCCTGCTCCCTGGTCTCACAACTTCCAGTCCTGCCAACCTGCAGTCCATTCTCTTCACAGAAACCAAAGGGATCTTTTAAAAATGCAATCAGACCTTATTTAGAAGATGCTGTCTGGGTAATGACGTTATGTAATATGTTATGCTCCACCATGTCTTGATGATTAAGTGCTAGAAAACATGAAGGGCAATGCCATGGTTGTGACGTTACCATGAGGGGGAATTGAAAGACATGTAGGAACCCTTTGAATTGTCTTGGCTACATCTCTGAAGGTCGAAAATCATTCCAAAGTTAGAAACTTATTTCAAAAAATGAAATCAGATTGTGTTGCTCCTCTCCGTAAAACCCCACAGTGATTTCTCATTAGGCTTGGATGAAAATCCAAATGTCTCCCCGTGCCTATAAGGCCCCGAGTGGTCCTGCCTCTCTGTGAGATTCCTGGCTTCCCCTCCTGCTACTCCCCTCACCCCTCGCTGCACTCCAGCCATGCTGCCCTTTTTTCTATTCCAACACTGGAAGACTGTTCCTGTCTCAGGGCCTTTGCACCTGCTGTTTCTTCTGTTGGGAATGCTCTTCTGTTGTGTAGTTCTTCCCATGACTTTCTCTTTCTCACCCCTCAGATCCTGACTCAAATGTCAACTCCTCAGGGTTCTCCTATGTGGTCACATGACCCTTTCTAATTTTCTCATAAAATTCACCACTCTCTGAAATTATTTATCCTCTTTAATTGGTTTCTCTGTTCCTGTCTGTGTCCTCTACAAGACTGGGAGTCCTGTGAGGGCAGGGACTATGCCTGACTTGTTCACTCCTGTGGCTTATTCACAGTTTCTCACACAGTACCTAATGCCAAGCAAAACCTCCATAAACATAAGACAAAAGAATACCAGTGCCTGTGGGTAATACCACCAGATGCTGAGCTACAGTTATGGACTTTGTCAAAAAGCTTTCACTTGTGGATTTTCCCATAGTTCCCTGCTTTGTATAAAACCTCCAGAATAGCCAGAGAGGGTCTAGATGTGCGGGCCAACCTCATCACCTATGCTACTTTCAGTCATTGTACCGCAATCCTAGGGCTCATTACATTGGAGAAGAGGAGGAAAAGGGTTCATCCCAACCTTCTAGAACAGAGTTTCAAGTTGTTGGCCAAGGGCCAAGTGTAGCCCACGGATATGCTCTGTCTGCTTCACACTGTTTTAGAACAACTTGGGTTCATGACCAACTTTTTTAAAACGGGAGCATTTCACACAAAGATCCATATGTCCAAGTTCTACCGAAAACTCAGAGCATCTGGCCACACTGAGCTCAAGTTTCTCACGTGGCCCCAGTGAACTGGAGCTAAGAAGTGACCGCCCCTACAGTTGGGACGTGGACTCAGCTAGCCACAGTCTCTATCCAGTCACTGCATTCTTATTTTTGTTTTTTGTTTGTTTGCCTGTTTGTTTTGAGTCACAGTCTCACTCTGTTGCCCAGGATGGAGTACAGTGTACACTCGCAGTCACCACAGCCTCCATCTGCTGGTCTCAGGTGATCCTTCTGCCTCAGCCTTCCAAGCAGCTGGAAACACAGGCGTGCACCACCACACCGGCTAGTTTATTATTATTATTATTATTATTGAGTTGGAATCTCACTCTGTCGCCCAGACCAGAGTGCAGTGGCACACTCACGGCCACCCCATCGTCGACTTGCTGGGCTCCAACAATCCTTCTACCTCAGCCTTCCAAGTAGCTGAAACTACAGGCATGCGCTACCATGCCCAGCTAATTTTTTGATTTATTGTAGAGATGAGGTCTCGCCTCGAACCCCTGGGCTCAGGCAATCCTCTCACCTCAGCCTCTCAAAGTGCTGGAATTATAGGCTGAGTCATCGAGCCCAGCCTATTTTTATTTTTATATTTTATTTATTTATTTATTTATTTATTTTGAGTTGGAGTCTCACTCTATCGCCCAGACTGGAGTGCAGTGGCCGCTCCCGGCCACCGCAGCCTCGACCTCCTGGGCTCCGGCGATCCTTCCGCCTCAGCCTTCCAAGTAGCTGGAATTACGGGTATGCGCTACCATGCCCAGCTGATTTTTTGATTTATTGTAGAGACGAGATCTCGTTGCCCAGGCGGGTCTTGAACCCATGGGCTCAGGCAATCCACTCACCTCAGCCTCCCAAAGGCGCAGGATTTTTATTTTTGATGAGACGAGGTTTCACCAAGTTGCCCAGGCTGGTCTCGAACCCCTGGCTCAGGCAGTCCTCTTGCTTCCGCCTCCTAAAGTGCTGGGATTACAGGTGAGAGCCACTGCGCCCGGCTAAATTCTTTCATGTTATTGGCCTGGTCCATTTAGGCACTGGGATTCCATTCAAAGTCTAAGAATCCTTGGAGATACTATTGATTTTCCAGTATTTTAGCCACAGCCCCCTCTCAAATAATCATCAGCTCCCCACCATCTTCAGCAACCCTTTAAGAAAGCCTGTGGAGCCAGAGAAGACAGTTTGAAAAGTGCATTTTAACCTGCTCCCCTCATTTTACAGATAGGCAAACTGAGGCCTGGGGAGGGGAAGGGACACTCCATCTATTAAGCGGGTAGACTTTCTGGCAAAGTGCTTGTATCTGCTGGTCCTTGGGGAAGGCACTAGCATTGCTAAGTCATAAGAAAAAGGCCCATAGGGAGTCAGTTCTTTCCTCCGCGAGCTGCTGGCTGGTTCCCAGGAGCTGTCCAAGGCCCACCCTGGCGAGCTATGCCACACTCAGACTGGCAGCCAGCTCATGGCTCAGGCATGTGCCAGCAAGACTGGACTCTGGAGGGGAGTTGGCTAGGAGAGAACAGCCTGGGGACAGAGGCTCTCCATGCCCCAGCTGGGTCTGAAGTCCTCCTCCCGCCCTAATGATGGTGACAGAGGTCAACGCACCTGCCATTTTGCATATGGAAAATTATGACACTCCGACTGTGGTTAGAGAAACATTCCATTAAGTTCCGCATTGACTGTGTGCCTAATACGTGCTACCGTGGGATTGACTGAATAGGAACAAGGGCTCTGGTTTCAGGCTGTGCTGAGTTCCAGCACTGGATCTGTAACTTACTAGCGGGGTGGGACCTTCAGCAAACAGCCTAGCCTCTCTGTGCCTCACTTTCTTCACCTGTAAAATGGGGGTGATCGGAAATAGTACATAATCCCTAGGATCGTCCTGGGGAGTCAGTGAGATACTTTTTGGCACAAAAACAATGACTGCAGTAGTATTTGTTTCATTTCGTTTTCCCCACCGCACTTATCAGAAGCTAATATTTTTATTTGCATCTTTGTTTATTGTCTGACTGGCTTACTAAATGACTCTCCTTGGAGAAAAGCCTGGTCTGCCTCTCTCACCCCTGCTTCCCAACCTCGAACAATGCCTGGCACAGGGTAGGTGCTCCATAAATATTTGTCTGCTGAATGAATCGCTGCCTTTCATATTTCTGCACTACATGCCATTTCGATGATGCACCCTGCCCTGGATGAGCCCAAGACCTCGTGGACTCCAGCAGAGCCTTCCTGACCTGACAGCCAGATGTTCACAGCAGCACTGGGCACCGACCCCCGCATGCCGCCAAATGGGCTCAGTGTCTTGGCCTGACAAACCGCACTTGTGTGGCTTCTGGTGGACAGAGCCGCAGCACGGGAGAGTGAGTGGGAGACTGGGGAAAGCGGAGAGAGAGGCTGAGCCCCGAACCTCAAGGCCCTGTGCCAGCAGCGAGGGGGCCACAAGTGAGGACACAGGGAGCCCACGCTGAGGCCCTGGGGCCGGCGCATAGCTTCCCGAGACGGATGCCCGGTGGCACAATCACCTTGGTGGCATGCAGAGGCGGGAATTGGTGCATCCTGCGTGCCTTGGGAAACACAGTGAATGTCTTGGGGGGCGGGAAAAGGCGTTGCAAACTGTAAAGCGCTGCAGGAAGAAACAGATCAATGGAAAGGTCAGGAAAGAGACGCGCGTTTGCCGGGTGTGGGCTGCACGTCCAAACACAGCTGAGGGCGCCGCGCAGCCCCCTGGAGAGGAGCGCTCTCGGGGAGGCTGGGAAGCCGAGGGGAGTGGCCGAGGTTGCCCGGGACGTCCGCAGAGCCCGGCCCGCTCGCTATAACCCCGAGCTCCTCTTCCCGCCCCGGCCCGGCGCGTGAGAGCTGCAAACCCTCCTTTTACGCGCTCGTTCAACTTCGCCCTGGCCGGAATCAGGGTAACCGCTCCGAGGATTATATAACTTTGCGAGTTCCAGGAAGGTGATCCAGAGATAGGGATGATGAAATTGTGTTTGGGGATGGGTTTTGCCCCCAAATGTAAAGTTACAGAAGTGCGCGTACGCACAGACTGCATACACACAGAGTACCCACAGTCCCACCACTCAGTGAATAAATGCTCACACTGACTTGTCTGGAAGAGGGATTTTTTCCCTCTCTTTGGTTACCAAATAAACCTTTCGCTTCTCCCAAGTCCCAGCAAATCGGAATCCAAAACAAGTCAATCTACTTCTCTTAATTACGCTCCCTGCCCACCCCCACTCCGGATTTATCTTGAGGGGTAAATTCCAGGACCCCCGAAATCCTCGGGCTTCCACATGGCCAGGTCTGGAAACACCCGGCCCCCACGTACAGCAACCCGGGGAGGCTGCAACGCGCGGAGTGCCCGGTGCCTTTCCCGCCCCCCGACTCCTCCGCCCCCCGACTCCCCCACCCCCGGCCCCGGCCCCAACTCCCGCGTGCAACTTTGCAACTCACGCTCGGGCCAGGGGGCCTATTTGCTCGGCCCGTTTGGCGGAAGGATCCCACGCGCGGACAGTTACGCTCAACCGCCCCGCCTCCCTCCTCCCCGGCCCCGCCCCCTCCCGCGCCCCGGCCCCGCCCCCTCCCGCGCGCCCTATGGCCCGTAAAGAAGTCCCGGCCGGGCCGCCGCACTCCCCGCGCGCATCCGTACGCCGCCCGAGGCTGG